CTAAAATAACTGTAAAGATGAACTGATACTGTGAATAAACAGTTGTGGTTATAAAAAATGAATTGTAGTGATAATCTCACTCCTAATAATAACAAAACACACCTTTTGGGTGTGGTTTTGATTAAAAGCTAGCTACCCAGGCATAGCCTTGGCATGCCTGGGCCTGCAGCCGCCTGAGCATAAAGATACTCTCTAATGTCTTTTCTGAAAACATAGGAAGGTAGAGAGAACCCTCATAAGTCGTAACAAGAATCCAACTGTACTTGCAAAGGGGTGATAACAATTATAGGAATAATTTTACACTGTTACGCTAGGTATTATGATTATTGTTGCTGTTGTTAATAATAAAAACTAATAAAATAATACATAATTATTATTTTACGCCTCTCCACCCTACTCTGATCACAAACCATTCCACTTCCTCTCTCATACATTCTCCATTGACCTAGTGAAAGCTGTTAGCAAGTCTTTTCTCATAGGTTCATCTCCTGGTCCTTCCGGTTTTAGGCCGTCCCATCTTATGCAGGCTTATTAATGTCCATCCGCCTCGAGTAATCACCCAGTTCTCGTGGCTCTTGCTTCATTTTCCTCGGTTGCAGCTGCTTGTAAGATTGCCACAGAAGTGATTTCTTTCCTTTGTGGTGCTAACCTTCTTGCTAGCTTGAAAAAGAGTGGAGGTATTCACCCAACTGCTGTTGGCAATCTTCTGCGCCACCTTATTTCTAAATGTCTCTATTTTTGTTAAGTCTGACGCTATTCACAAACTCTCCTGCCTACAGCTTGGAGTAGGTCTCTCTGATGGTGCCGACACCATCATCCATGCTGCTAACCTCATTCATTTCGATGTCAGCATTCCTATCTCCTCCAAAGCAACTCTACAGGTCAATTTTTCCAATGCTTTTAACCACGTTGACTGCAATATGACATTTAGGAGATTCACTCCCATCTGCCATTCCTAGCTCCTTGGTTGGAATGCTGCTATGGGTCAATCCCTCCAATCCTCTGGTTTGGAGATGGAACAATTAGCAGCTGGTCCGGAGTGCACCAGGGGGATCCCCTGGGCCCCTTGGGTTTTTCTCTTACTCTCCAGCCTTTAATTGAAAAGGTCAAGGCAGTGGTCCCCTCTCTTTCCCTCAATGCCTGGTAGATGGGACTCTGTTGATGGCTGTTGAAATTATTAATGCTATTGGTCCTGCTAGAGGTCTTTCCCTTAATCACAAGAAATTTTTGCTATTTCTTCCATCAGCCCTTATTATTCTAAACAATCCCCTTTCCAAAGACTTCGCTGTCTCTTGCGAAAGCTTCATCCTCCTGGGGGTCCCCATTGGGTCTCACTTCTACTCCAAGTCAGTGGTCTCAAGGCAATTAACATCCCTGCAAAATATACTCTCTCTTCTCCCTTCTCTAGAGGACTCCCAAATGGAATTTACCCTTCTTCATTTTTACTTGTGACTCCCCAAAGTTGGTTCCATCATTTGCTCTTGTCCTTCATCCATTTTTTCAAGCTTTTACACTAACTTTGATTCCCTCATTGAGTTTTCGTTAGCAGACATTGTTGGTAGTGCAGCCCTCTCAGTTGTCAAAACTTAAGGCTTCCCTGCCCACTTCAATGGGTGGGCTGGGCCACCGTGGGGCTACAACTCGCTCTCCTGCTGCTCTTTATGGCTTTCTTAGTAGGTCATCATCTCTACTCGAGGACTTACTTGGTCATCCGCTGGACATTTCCCCGCTTTTTGATTCTCTTTGTCCAGCTCTTGCTGCCAATGCTGTTAGAAGTGATTGGGTCTGGCATTCTGACATTGAACTCCCTTGCTCCCAAAGCATCCTCTCTGATTCTATTAATGTAGCTCATTACTCTCTTCTCCTGGACCAAGCATTAGACTCCGGTTCCAAGGACCTTGCACTCTTTTCATCAATACATTAGGCAAGTGTCTCACTTCACGTCATCCCCTCTTAGCAACTGGGCCTCCACTTCCTGGACCAGGAATTTTGGTTGTGCCTCCAGTACTGGCTTGGGGTCAAAATGTTCAATCATTCCTACCCCTGCAATGTTTGTTCCAGGCCTTGTGACCCACACGGTGACCACCAAGCTGGTTGTAATGATGAGTGAAACTTCATCAAAAAAAATAATTCCCTTAGAAATGTACTGTTCTCTGCTGCACAGTCTGCTGGGTTGGCCCTGGTGAGGGAGATCCCATCACTCATCCCGGACTCCAGGCCCACTTATTTATTTCTTCCCTTGCGGCAAGGTCGTAAGCCTCCTGCCCTGGATGTGATGGTGATCTCCTCACTTGAACATGCCACAGTTGCTGATGTGGCATTTGACCAGGGAGCTGCTCTTGCTGTAGCTAACCTTCGTAAACAGTCTAGGCATTTGGCTATTTGCACTAGGGCTGGCATAGGGTTCTTCCACATTGCTGTAGAAGTTCTTGGTGGCTGAAGCTCCTCAACTGCCTCTGTCATTTCCTCCATTGCCCGTTTCCAGAGCCAATGAATAGGTCAGGACATGGGGGAAACTTCAAGGCATCTGTTCCAGCGGCTTTCAGTTGGACTGTGGAGAGGCAATGCTGATATGTGGGCCACATGCAGAGCCACCCTCCCATTTGTCATAGACGGTCTTCCCTGAAGAGCTAGGAACTTGCATTTTCTTTTCGTGGAGTTTGTGTTTGCAGGTTTATTGTTTTTTGTTTCTTTTGTCTGCATAATGATAATAATAATAATAATAATAAAGTAATAATAATAATAATAATAATAATAATAATAATAATAATAATAATAATAATAATAAATAATATGTGACCATAATTGACAAAAGGTACCTAATGTCAAATTTTAAAATTCATTATTATGATGCAAAATATCGAGCTGTGTGCTCTGTGGGACAACAATTGTTTCTAAAAGTTACATGGTAACTTTTTGCATCCTCTGAAGTAATTTTATGATTAATGGACCTCAGGAAGTTGGATTTTTTAGCTATAAAGACAACTACCCGCCATAAGGTACCTTTTGTCAATTATGGTCACATATTAATAATAATTATAATAGTTATTATTATTATTATTATTATTATTATAAGTTATTGCTCTAGAAATTCAATTATCCCATTTCGGTGTATAATTAGGTTTCAGAGGAACTTGGGCTGGATAAGTATGACATTGCGGGGGTCATTACTACTCCTAGGTCACTATCAGCCCCTACAGACACTAACGCCACCCCTCCTCTTCCTTTATTTTTTCCTATTATATGTACTGATGGTAATGCTATATGTACTGATGGTAATGCTATATGTACTGATGGTATTACTACATGTCCCCTCTCCTGATATTGATATTGCTACTACTACTATAACTACTACTACTACTCCTTTGCCTACGCCTCCTTCTTTGTCTCATGTTATTAGTAGTACACCAGATACTGCACCTACCACTCCCACAAGAGGTAGGAGCATTTATTTGTTTATTCATTTATTTCTTTGTTTATTAAATTATTTTTTTGTTATTTATTAATTTTATTGCTAGATTGTGTTTTAATTTGCATTTTATGTAGATTGGCAATTTCTTGCTATGCAACAGCAACACCAGGACTTAGGTGCAATGCCTTGAAACTGAGGTCCATGGGTGGAGATGTAACTACAGTACCTCCTGATTTGAATGAATTTATGTGGGAGGAATTGTGGCACGCAATGCCTCTGACAGGAAAAATAAACAACACTGTACATGACATATTGCGAAGATACTGTATCAGACAGAGGTGGATGTCACACTCCTCTTGCCTTGCTTCCAGTTTCCTTTGTGCAAACATAAGATTGGCTGATGAAGCAGCAAAAAGCTATGTCACTAGCTATAGAGTGGGGTACCATAAATGATGAGGCAATGGTAGTAGTAACTGAGCTGAACCGCTCTCTCTCTCTCTCAGCAGCTAACATCAACTGCTAGGCTCTTGTTGCTACCTGCTCATGAAGCTGCACCAGTCATACTCCTCCTCAATTGTTACTAGGTCTAGAGCCAGTAACTCAAAAAATGAGGGCAGAGGAGCGAAGACAACTGGCTTTGTTGAGAGGTGCAAAACCACCACGCCCCAAGCAAGCAAAGGTACCCTAACCAGATCTAGAGCTTAGACTAAGTGGAGCAAAGGAGAGAATACTACAACTTGGCATTACCCTCTAGATGTAAGAATTAGCTGTATATACTTAATTATTGCATATTCTTGCTAAATTACAGTTGTTTTTATTAATTTTGTTCTTAATTACCAGTACTATTGATTTTTGGGTTTTTTAGAAACAGACTCTTGAAGGAAGGAGAACATGCCCTATTTCTCATCGACTGAAGACTACTAGTGATTTAAGACCTGATGGATAGATCAATAGAGTCTTAGGGCGATCCAATATAGTGTGGTGTCCTTGTGCTGATGGCAAGAGCATCTTGTCTGATTATAGGCAAGAGCAACAGGAAAGCAAACGTAGCCATTGGAGGGGGGTAAATGTGAAAAAGGAGCTGAGAAAAGACTAGGCTAATCACTAGTCTTGTCACCCAGAAGTCTGTCACATTCCTCTTTCTCTTTATTTTGCATAAAAATCAATAATCAAGAAAAATTAATAATCAATAAAAATAATTAATAATTATTGACTAATAATGATTAGACTATCGATCAATTACTGGTAAAATAATCACCAGTATTACCATGTCAGTAGTAATAACTACCATAATCCTACATTATGTAAGATCTTGCAACAAAACAATATATTCCTTTTCAAAATTTCCCTCTCTTTACTTCTCTTTCCCTCCCACTCCCATATTCTTCTTTTTCCGCCTCCCTGCCAGTCTTTTATTCCCAGCTCTCTTCATGCTGGTTCTGAAAAAGGCTGGGTTCCGAACTGTGATTTGGTGTACCAGTCAATTGAAGAAGACGGTGATTACCATGAAGAAATGAATCACTAAACTTTTTAAAACTGGTTTGAAAAGAGCAGAATACCACATATTCCACGTCATTTATTGATTGTCATGGATATTGCATTGTACCATTCAAAAAGTTTTGAGCCATTGCCAATCTTTCATTGCAGAAATGGTGACATGATTATATGGCTAAAAACTAAAGGTATACCACTTTCAGCTAAATGCATAAAGCAGAATCTTTACCCTATCGTTAAGAAACACAAGGAGAAGTACAGAAAATATGTCACTGATGAAATGACAAATACAGCTAGAAATGAAGTTGTACGTTTAACTCCATATCACTGTGAACTAAATCCCATTGAAATGGCATGGTTACAAGTCAAACACTATGAAAAAACTCACAATACAGAATTTACACCAGATGCATTACAACGTCTTGTGACTCAAGAGTTTGCACAAGTAGCTACTAAAAGGTGGGCCAGTCTAACTAAAGATACTCAAGGGAAAGTACAAGATTTGTACTTTATTGCTGATAGATTACAGAACTGGAAACAAGTTAAAGAGTTTGTGATACATGTTGGGCAGATGATGATGAAAGTCATTCAGATGAAGAAGACAGTGCCATCAGTGATTATGATTCTTATGATGAAGGAATATGAAGAAGTACAGTAAACAAAATGGCGTCTCGTGATGACACCACATATCTGGCTCTTAAGGGAGTTTATTCCAAGCTTTATCAACTTGGCTCCCATTTTCCTTGAGCTACAAAGTCGCTGGCTCTCACTAAACCTATCTGTGTGGACTGTTAAGCTAAGTCTGGTATTTCCGTTAGTCTTTTTCAGAAACAGTCTTCCAATTTGAAGAAGTTAAACAAGAACAAAAAGAAGAAATCCTCTTCATCCTCTGTTGTTGACACTCTTAAAGGGGAACCTAAACTCAGTGCTGCCTCTCCTAGAACCTAAGTTTCCAATCAGGCTTTACCTGGTTTTTTGGCTACTGCTACAAGGAAGGCAGTAGACCTGTGCTCTTGTTCCTCTGTGGGGTACCATGTGAAAGAGGAGGTCCCAGGAGTTTCCTATACTAATGATACTGGGGAGACTGGCTCGACTCTTGTAAGGTAGGTCAGGCGTGGTCATAAATTTCGCTCCAATATCCATCCCTCGGATTGTTCTGAAGATGGTTCTGACACAGAAACAGAGGATCTGATTATTGCGCCTAAT